TAAGGGTCGAAGGACCACGTTGTGGTTGCTAGGTGCCAGCGAGTCAGTTCCTACCCATTGGGACCCTGTGCTCAACAGAGTACAGTACCACCTGGGCCTGGGCCCCCGTCACAATTGTCCCTGTGCCTGAGCCCATGCGACAGCCATGGTGTCCATCCTTCTTGCCCAGGGCCTTCCTCTTCTTTGCTGCCCCTCTGCTCGGCCAAGCAGGACCTTCCTTCTCCAGGGACGGTCTCTCCCGACAACCTGCCTAAAGTATGTGAGATGCGGCCTCGTCATCCTGGCCTCTGCGGAGCGTGCCGGCTGTATTTCTTCCCAGCTAGATGTGTTTGTCCTTCCAGCGGTCCCTGGTCCTTTCAATATGCTTCTCCGGCACCACCGTTCAAACGTCTCCATCCTCCTCCGGTCTTCCTGATTCAACGTCCCACTTGCACATGAACGGGGGTGGGGGTGACTGAAAACACCCCAGGCCTCCGATGAACACCCTTGCTTTTCAACACACTGAAGGGGTCGCCTGGGGCATCGTTTGACCTCCCGGATGCATCCTCAGAAGAGCTGCACCATCCTCACTGCTCCTCACTGCTGTCCCCTTCAGGACACCTTCTTCTTCCTCCTCCTCTTCAGTGTCGCTAGCTCCTGTTCCCGCTCGTGGCCCGAGACCTTCCCTGCCATGCCCCTGGGTCATTATGAATCCAGTTACTGCCTCCATAGCAGCGGTTCTCAACCTGTGGGTCACGGCCCCCGGAGGGGGGTGTATAACAACCCTTTCACAGGGGTCGCCCGCTTCATCCCAGTAGCAAAATGACAGTGATGAAGTAGCAAGGAAAATAATGTTATGGTTGGGGAGTCACCACCACATGAGGAACTGAATGAGAGGGCCGGGGCCTGAGGAAGGTTGAGAACCGCTGCTCTATGGGTTTACCTCTCCTGGGGTTCCCATGCAGAGAACCATACAGAAACACAAACAAACAACAAAGAAACCAACCGTGACAAGAAAACAAAACAAAAAAACCCAGTCGAAAAGAAAGCAGGAAGTATTTTTCTTTTTAAAAACCAGATACAACTTTAAAAGGGGTCAGAAGAGAGACCAGCTGCTACCGTGTTGCATTTTAACGCCAGGAAACAGCTCTGCCAACATCCACTTTCCAATGGTCATTGGCTGATAGCGAGACACCGGGCCCTTCCCAGCGCTGGGCCCTGCTGCTTTGCAAGCCGGCCCCCTCGGACACGCTCTGACC